ATACACTGAGAAACATTGGGTAAGGCGACAGTTACCTGGTTACTTTATTCCAGGACATGCTTCAACCCTTAGTGTCTTCTGATTTAGCTCTTGATCATGGACAGGAGGGCATGACTATAAGTGAAGTTGGTAAGTAGATTGAGAAGATGGGACTGGTGGAGCCTAGCCCTTGCAAGTGACCAACAGGTCTGAGGTTCTTACAGCTTACACAGATGAAAGTGGGGTGGTAGGGTAGATGAGTGAACTCATCAATAATACAATAGTACAGGAAGGAGGAGGAGGCAGAATTAGAGCAGTGGCAGGAGACGGCATACTTAGGAGGATAGAACAGTTCTCTATAACCAAAAAGCATCCCGACTGATGTGTGAGACTGGTGTCCCCTGTCTGCTCCCCGAGTTTGGGACATCTGTTTAGCACAGGAGAGGAGCTAACAGTAGGAGGGGTGGAGCTAGTGGTCTTGGTCCACACTGGTATCAACGACGTAGGCAGAAATAGAAAGTATGTTCTGCTGATAGTGTACAAGAGTTAGGGGCTAAAAGAAAAAGTATAGCCTCAAAGTAATATTTTTTGCATAATTATCTGACTGGCATAATTATCTGACTGGCAAAGGTCAAATAAAATTAGACAGATGAATGCGTGTCTTAAAGCCTGTTGTGGAAAAAATGGGTTTCAATCCTTGGGGCCACTGGGACAAATACTGGGGAAAATGGAATCAGCACCATTGGGAAAGTCTTCACCTGAATCAGGCTGGGATCTGACTCTGGCTAGTCATATAACTGGGTCAATAGAAATGACCTTAAGAGGCAAAAGATCAAATTCAAGAGTATACAGAAGGCAAAGGAAGCTAGGTATTAACATAGGAAATGGTACAAAGATCAATACAGGAATGCATAGAGAATACAAATCTAACAGTAAATCAACATATACAGCTAGAGGTTAAACAATAATAAAAGGACACGGTTCTGTGTCTTAATGCAGGTAGCATACAAAACGAAACAAATGAACTGACAACACAAATAGAAATAAATAATTACAGCCCAATAGCCATTGCAGAGACATGGCTGTAAAATAACAACAAGTGGGACCTGAATATTTAAGAGTATGTAAAATTGAGGAAGGACAGGAAGTGAGGAAAAGGTGGAGGGTTGACTCTGTTAGTTGATGACAACATTAACACAACACAGAGGGATGACAAATTCAGAAAACTAGGAGGGAGAAGTTTGGATAAAGATAAAAAAATGAAAAAAAAAAACAAGAAGTCACTTGTGGGAATGGTGTTCTGGTCTTCTATCAGTTACCACATGGTAGGATGGAGTACAAAGGAAGAAATATTGGAAAACTTGTCAGAAAGGTAATAATTATAGAAGATTTTAATCTACATTGATCTGTTTACCATTTCCTATTTTAATACCTATCTTTCTTGCCTTGTATCTTTTTTTGTGATCCACCATACCTTCTTAATTTGATCCCTTGCCTCCAATATTTAAAGTACTTTCTATATATGTACATACAGAGTGAAAAAAATATGAGAAAAGAAAGCCTAGATGAAGAGTTTGTGGAATGTTTCTGTAATAATTTCTTCGAGCAGCACACTTTGCAGCCAATGAGACAGCAGGCTGACAGAGGCAGAGGCAGACATTTAAGGGATATTTCAGAATGCAAAGCAATGGAAGAGGTTGCTGAAGTGCTTGCAAGTGGCACTTGCAAAGTAATTACCTGCTCATTGACACTCAGTTCCGGCTCTGCCTCAGCTCCTCGGCAATTTAGCTCCTGACATTGTTACAAACAAATACATGGACAAAGGAGCTAAAGCGAGGTGAGGTGACAGTGACTGCTCTTATTAAAGTATAGCATCAATAAGCTCTAGCAAAACTAGAATCAATGGGAATCAGGGGGAAAACTCTCTGCTGATTGGAGTCGTACCCAGCATGAAAGAAGATGGTTGTGGTTGTTAGTAGTCAGTCATCCCAGCTCCAAGACATCAGTGCAGGAGTACATCATGGTAGGCCCAACCTCCTTTTCAGCTGCTTCATCAATAACTTTCCTTCAGTCATTGAGACAGGTGGGGTTGTTCGTTGATGACTGTATAATGTTTAGCGTCAATCATAACTCCATGGAGACTGAAGCAGTCCATGGTCAAATGCAGCAAGACAACATTCAAGCTTGGGTTTGAGTACCAGGCAGTGACCACTCCAACAAGAAAGAATCAATCCTCATCCCTTTAAGTTCAATCGCAGTACCATCGCTGAGTCCCCCATGACCAACTTCCTTGGGGGTTACAGTTGACTCTAAACTGGACTATAAATACTGTGGCTACAAAATCAGATCAGAGGCTAGAAACCCTGTGCCGAGTAACCTGACTCCCTCGTGCCTGACCACTGTCTACATAAGTCAGAAGTGTGACGGAATACTCCCCATTTTCCTAGATGAGTGCAGCTCCAACAATATTCAAAATGACTTATACCATCCAGGACAAAGCAACCTGCTTGATTGGCATCACTTTGACCATTCAACATTCACACCCTTCACCACCAATGCAGCATACAACAGTGTGTACCATCTACATGATGCACTACAATAACTCACCAAAGTTCCTTTGAAAGCATCTTCCAAACCCTTGATTTCTGCTATCCTGAACAGCAAGAGCAGCAGATGTGTGGGAACAGCATCACCTGCAAGTTCCCTATTGAGTCATTCACCATTCTAACTTGAAATGTTCCTACAGTGTTGCTGGGTCAAAATCCTGGGGTTCCCTTTCTAACATCATGATGGGTGCATGTGCATCCCAAGGACTGCAGAGGTTCAAGAGGCAGCATACGACCATCTTCTATAAGGATGGGTAAATAATGCTGGCCTGGCCAGTGAAGCCCACTTCCCATGAATGAATTAAAAGAAAACCAACAGTTTCCTGCTCTAAATAAAACTATTATACCTATCCTGAAGTACCTTCAGCCTACTTCATTACTTTAAACTTGTTATTTAGCCTCTCAACAAACATTATGTAAGTCATGCATAGCTACACCTCAAACTTATCTAAGCCCTTTAGCTCTTACTGTGAAGATAATCACGAAATGAGAAAACGTTAAGCAACAATCCCAAAATAAGGTTCAAATCTTTCTGCACCTGAGTTCTTGAATTCACCTGCCATGCCCATCTTGCTCGACATCCTCTTTCCCTCCATTTCAACCAGTTTTCTCTACTAATATACCTTCCTTCTATAGTGTACCAAGTTTCACAGTACTTATCATTTTCCATTCTTATTTGCTTGCACCACCTTGGTCAGTTTCCAAAGCTCCTTCATTTCCTATCCCCTTGTCTCTTATACCAATCTATTCTGGATGCAGAAACGAGGATTTTTCTAGATGACAAGAACTTATTTTATGAATACATCTACTATTGGTCCCTCTAAAAACATTACAATTTTTAATGCTGTCAATCCCAAAACTTTGAAAGTGTTGTTGTAGCAGCAAGATTAGACTTGTGGAGTTAAGCAGATTTGCAAATAGCTTATAACATAATTGCTCATTAGTTTTGTGAAACTATCAAATTTAAAATGGCCAGGTCTGCAATTGTTTTAGCTACTGGATTGCATCTATCAAAATCTGAATTAGTTTCTAATGAATGCTAGCATTTCAGATTAGACTTTGATTCGAGCTTAGTGCAATTCTTAATCCATTTTCGACTTGTCATCTCCTCCTTCTTCCCTCTGCTTCTACTCTCTTCACCATGGACCACCATCAACTACCTTACAATACACATAACCCTCCTCCACAGGTTGTTGGTGCCCTCAGTTTTCTGCCATTTTCTTTCCTCCTCTCAAAACTCAAGCTGCCTAATGTCAATGATCGGTGATAATTAGAAAAGATGGAATGTGTCTTGTCACCATTTGAGGTAGTGAAGATGGAATCATGGTAAAATCTGATTAATCTGTCCTCAACCATGTATTTTTGGAACAACTGGTAGAGTTGCAGTTCATCAGCATCTCTCCCATTGTAATATAGAGATAACATAGAGACCCTCGCAAACCTTCTGAGGATGGGTTCAAATTCCACCGCAGCAACTGGTGGAGATTAAACTTAGTTGAAAGCTAGTGTCAGTTGTGGTGACCATGGAACTCTCATCATTCTAAAAATCCATCTGATTCACTAACATCTTTTATGGGAGAAAATCTGCTATCCTCACTTGGTCTGGCTGACAAGTGACTCTAAATCCACAAAAAATGTGGTTTATTATTAAGTATCCTGTGAAATGGCCTAGCAAGTCACTCCATTCAATGATGGTTAGAATCGGGCAACAAATGCTGACCTGGCAGTGACACCAACATCCCACAAAAGAATAAAATGTGTACATTCCATTCTTCTCACTGTTCAGTTTTCTGCTTCTTGCCAGTTTTTGGCAATCATTCACTGAACCACAGTAAAGAATCATGACTACTTTTACTTCAGGAAGGGTAGAGGCAGGACTTGAGTCACAGGGATTTCCTGTGCTGTTGGCATTATTGTGCAATCCACACATAAGCTGACTAACCAGTGGAGCTAATTAGCGATCCCCCTCCCCGATCCCCACACATATGCATTTAGACACTGATAATATTATTTTTGTACGATATTGAAACATTGTGCAATTTTGTTAAACAACAACAATTCTCCCACACTTGTAACCAAGTTTGAGCATCAGCATTTGCATGAGCACCATAAATGAGCTGCAAGTTGATTAAATTCTAGCAGAAATAGCCATTTAAGAGCAGATTAAGACTACAGAGAATATGAAAAACTAGTTTTCAATGAAAGAAATAATCAGCTACCTAGGTCTTATGTCATCACAAACTCGTGCATAAAGCAGATCCTCCACATTAACCCCATAGGTGCATTATCTTTTGCCTGTTTTCAATAGCTTCATATCCAAAGAAAGCCAAAATATTACATTGACTTGTTATTTGAAATAAATCATTACTTGTAGATGAGTCAAGAACATTTCCATGCTAAACACCATACACCCACCTCGTAGCCAAACTGCAATTCATCTGAAGTCAACATGATGATATCGTCATCAATTGCCAGGACAGCTTCAGTTTCAATCTCATCATAAGGAAAGAACCTATTACTCAGTTTGTTTTCTTTGGTTCTTACAACTTTGAGAGGTACTCCGATCTTGGGCCACAGTGACTCTGGAAGAAGAAGCAAATTAAAATCTTGAATTTCATAGATTTTATCATAGAATCCCTACAGTGTGGAAACAGGCCCTTCGGCCCAACAAGTCAACACCAACCCTCAGAGCATCCCATCCAGATCCATCCCCCTATAACCCACCTAATCTACACATCCCTGAACACTACGGGCAATTTAGCATGGCCAATCCACCTAGTCTGCACATCTTTGGACTGTGGGAGGAAACTGGAGCACCCGGAGGAAACCAACGCAGACACGGGGAGAATGTGCAAACTCCACACACACAGTCACCCGAGGATGGTATCGAACCTGGGTCCCTGGTGCTGTGAGGCAGCAGTGCTAACCACTGAGCCACCTTGCCACCCCAGAGTTTAATTTCCTTGTTTAAAAATTATAAGTCAAATAAACCACTGGAATTTGCCAATGGATTTATTGTTCACAAATGACACCTTTCCTTTATTTAAAATAGCAACCACAGTATCTAAACTATAACTTTGGTGAATTGTAATTTGAGTCATGAAACAATACTCGCTGCAAATGCTAATATTTTGAAGGAATTTCACTGCTTCAAGTTTGTCACAAGTGGCAGCAACTTTACAGATACAGACTCTACAAATTCCGGCTCATTTCCTGCTATGGGTTATTGCCTCAGGATAAAGTTTGCAAAAATTCTTTCATAAAGACATTTTAGCAATATCTTGAAAAGTGCCTTTCTCCATTTAAGGAAAGCCAGAGGATATCAGTCAGTTGTAGGCTTCCACGAAGAAATTAGTCTATTCTACAATTTGTAGCTTTCTTTTAAAGTGTCTTTGTTTGCCTTTCATACATTATACATTTCCCTAAGTCTGCCCTTCCCCACTTTTAAGATTAGTATTGACAAACAGTCATGTTTTCAACTTCAAACACGACTATGGCTGGCTTACTCCACTGTACCAAGCCCGGCACGCTGTGACAGAAGGAACTCACATTTCATTAAATGTAATATTTTAGGCATCTTGCAACTGTGTACTCTCTTTTAAGCTCAATTCCCTAGGCTTTCAGGATTTTGGTCGCTAAGATACACTTCTTCCTGTCACAGCAGTCAGAATCTAGAAGCTGCAAGTTTGCAAAATATAAATGGCAGCAATCAATTGGTTATTTAATTTTATGATTTTAATGGGCACTGACCAACCTCATCAGTCATTACTACACTTATACGAAGATGTGGAATGACCCTATATCATATTCTTATTTATTCACGGGATGACGGCACGCTGTCTTGGGCAGCATTTCTTGTCCATTCCTAAATGCTCAGCGCAGTTAAGATTCAACAACATTGCTGTAGGTCTGGAGTCACATTAGACCTTCCCTAAAGGACATTAGTGAGCCAGCTGGGTTTTTACACCAATAGCCACTTAGCTAACATTTTGTTCTCAATTTTTCTTGAATTCAAATTTCACCGTCAGTAAGGGTGGGATCTAAACCCCGTTCCTTGAACATTAGCCTGGGATTCTGGATTACAAGTCCAGTGACATTCCTACTATGTCACCACCTCCCCAAAAGTCTGATGTTTTTTTGAAGTTAAATTGATCAAAGATTAAATTAGAAGGTAGATACCTATGAAAAAATATCACAATACTACTCATGACTTATTTCCAGTTCAATTATTTTGTAGGTTTTCTTGTAGAGGTTGTGTAACCATTTCTCCACCTGCTACTTAATTTCTCTGCCTTTTCTTCATTTACAGTAAAAACTGATACAACCCTGAAAACAGACTGGGACAATTTAATAGTTAACGATTGGTCAAAGAAAATAACTCCACTACAAATAGGTTTCACAAGTATCACGTTGACACCCTCCTTACTGTACTTTCTTTCTAAGTACTTTAATCAAGTGCCACTAGTATCACACATTTTTAAAACTGATGACAAATAACCTTTATTAACTTTTTCTTTATTTCTGTCTTTGGACTAATTTTCCACAAGTGTGTTTCTAATGCTTGGCTTGGTTTTTCTGCAGAGAACAAAAACTAAAAATCAGATTTCCACTTTTAAGACACCACTAATTGGTTGGCTTACACTTTTATGTCAAAATTACTTTTCCAACTAAAACTGTACATGTACCATGGTCATCCACGAACTGTGAGATGAAAAAGAACCAATCCTTCACATAACGTTCTTTAAGAGATGTTCAGAAAATAAAGTGAAACAATATTGTCTGCAGCTGTCCTAATAACCCAGCAGAAAAATGCACCATTGGCATTGTATTACTCTATATTAATCAAGAAACTCCATTATGATCTGTGTCAAATCAGCTGCTCTCTAACTGGGTTTTTGGTTTCAGGGAAATCATGTTTGGTAAATACTCACATGTTTTTCCCTGGATGTAACTAGGAGGGTAGATAAAGGAGAACTAATGAACGCATACATGGATTTTTGAAAAGCATTCAATAGCGTATCGCGTACAAGATCATTACACAAGGTAAGGGTAGGGATAAACTGGGCATTTTTAAGTTGACAAATTGTAACCAACAGATTGCCATAAAGACCAAAGCTGAGGTCTTGGCTATTTACAACCTATATTCATGATTTAGATGGAAGGATTGAAAAGCAACGTATCCAAGTTTACTCATGACACAAAACCACATTGGACAGTTAACTGTGAGAGAGCCATCAAATGGTTCAAAAGGGACAGAGACAAGTTAAATGAGTGTACAATTAGATGGCCAATTGTTACGTTTCACCGGAGCAGCACACTATACCTGGAACTGTTACAAAAATTAAAGGTTTTAAAAAGTAAGCCGAATTCTCCAATTTACCTGACTTTCAGACCAATGTTGACAGAAAGCATGCACCAGTTTCTGTTCTTAATTACTATTTATTACAAATAAATACGATTCTAGCTACAGGTAAAACTGTCATGAACTGTCAACATGTAACTACTAGTTAAAACTCTAACTCTTACACAAGCAGACAGGGTGTTATGGGTGAAAGAAAAGACTGAGAAGGCAAAGGCTTCGCTGAAATGACGCTGCTTCTTGGTCTTTCTTCTCTGGATGCTTTTCCTTATTTGCAGCAGGCACAAGATGATTTACAGTATTGTATATCACTAATTTACACTTGTAAAGGTGTGAATTAATTAAATGTCACAGCATATAGCAACTGTTGATGGAAAAGTGAACTGGTTATCCTCCCATTTAAAGTGTTCTTTTTCTGCAGAGAACAAAAACAGTTCCTGAGCTTGCAAAAATTTTTTGGCTTCTCACGATCCTGTTCATAGCCCCAAGCTAGTCAGTTACCTGAGTGCCAAGCACATAGTTGTTGGCAGGCAGAAGGCCTCTGCAGTCCTCTCAGACTCAAACCATTAATGCTGTTTCTCCCTCCAAAGTCACTGTCAGATCTTCAGCATTTTCTATTCTTTAAAATCAAAATGCTTTTGGACAGTGCTGCTTTGAGTATACTCAATAAGCATAGCCATCTGGGTTACAGGGGACCAAAGATTTACAACACTGTGAATGAAGAAATTATGAAAATTACAATTGAAACAACATTTCCTTTATCTGATACTCCATACTTCTTTCAATAAAGCCCAATATTGTATCTGCCTTCCTAATTTGTCACAATATTTATATGCTTAATTTGTGTTGCTTGTCAGAACATACCTTTCTGAACACCAACATTTGAAGTTTTCTCACTGTTTATAAAATACGTCTTATTACCAAAGTAAATAGCTTCACATTTCCCTACATTACACTACTAAAGACCATTTTTTCCCCCTTCTGGATTTTTGATCATGGACTAAAATGGGAAAAGGATTGTTTTAAAAACTAAGAATTGTTGATGGATTGTTGTACTTTTTGGAAAACAAGTAACCTGACACTCATTATACGTACTGTCTACTTAGCCGCTGGTTCAAGCAGTAGTGAGAGAAGATTTGCAGATGTGCTAGAGCTGAGGGTGTGGAGGTACAAGTGGAGATTCAACTGGCAACAAATAGCTGATTGGTCTGTGGACTTGTGACTAGTTATAATAGTCATACAGTACCCTTTGGTCCAACTAGTCCACGACGATCATATTCCCGAACTAAACTAATCTCACTGGCTTGGGTTTGACCCATATACCTCCGAGCCTTTATTATTCATGTACTTATGCAAATATCTTTAAAATGTTGTAACTGTACCCGCATCCAACACTTCCTCTGGCAGTTCATGCTAAACACGAACTACTCTCTGTGTAAAAAAAAGTTGTTTACATCTCACCTTAAAAATATGCCCCCTAGTTTTGATGAGGGGAATGTGCTTAAGGATATGAAAAGGATATACAGAAGCCATCAGATCTCTGCGAACTCAGGAGCTACCTCTGGTCTCTGCACTAAAAAAAACATTTAAAATATTTTCTTTAGCATTTAATTGATAAGTCAGAGACTTTTACAAATGTGAACCAGTCACAGAATCACAGAAACCCTACAGTGCTTAAAGAGGCTGTTTGGTCCATCAAATCTACATCAACCCTCCAAACAGCATCCTACCCAGAAAACTGCCCCCACCTCCACAACTTTATCCCCATAATCCTACATTTACTATGGCTAATCCACATAACCTGCACATCCCAGGACACGGTGGGGCAAATCTAGCACAGCCAATCCACCTAACCTGCACATCTTTGGACTATAGGCAGAAACCCATGCAGACATGGGAAGAACATGCAAACTCCACACAGACAGTCACCCAAGACTGGAATCGAACCTGGGCCTCTGGCACCGAGGCAGCAATATGTACCTCTGAGCCACCGTGCCAATCACCTGGTGCTTCTTGCAACAGTGAAAGCATCCAGAGTAAGAAGACCGAGAAGCAGTGTTCTGATCAGCACAACAGCAAATCTTGTGAACAGGGACCAGTGAATTACTTTCCCTGTTTTTCCCTCTGCCCATAACACCCATGCTTTTCCCCGCCTGTGTCTGCACATGTATGTTGAGGGGGAGCTTATAAGATAAACAGTTTAACTAGTAGAGTCATATGCCATTGGTTCATCATTATTTGCCTGTAGTTATAGGCTATTATTTGTAGTAAATAGTAATTTCTGTTAAGTACTTTCTGTACTTAAGTCAGGTAAAAGAGGCATTGTGTGTACTTTTTAAAATCACCACGAATAGCGGTGCTCCACTTCCAGTGCGTCATCCCAGTGAGGTGTTCCATCTACTGTGTCAGTGCACAATAAGCCATAAATGTTCCAAATACATGGTTTTTTTTTAATGTAATATCATCTGACACTTTAGTTCATCTCTATTGTACCAAACCTGGGTTTTAAGAAAACTAGAAATGGCAACAAGGTTAGGAGATACTAGGTTTGGCCTTACAACATTGATATTATTTTGTTCTTGTTCCAGGTCTACTGGGGCAAATCCTGGGATGTAAAATCAATAGGAGAGAAAAAGACAGATTACTACTTAGGAATACGGGAGCAGTGGCCGAAGGGTTGAGGAAATTCGAGATGTCTGTTACAGAACTGAGGATGGAAGGTCCTGGGATCCATGAAAACAGAGGAGAAATTGGGAAAAACTAGGGTGACCTATGATGAAGTACTGAGAAACCAGAATCACATATTTTTAGAGAGAAGCTGGCAGAAAAGGATCCAAATTACCCTGTGACCTTTTGAATAATTGGATACATCTACTTTGGCTTATCACTTCTGTCTCTTCATCTGCCTACATTCACTGAAACATGATTCACCAGCCCCTGCCTGTTTCACGTTGTCAGCTACTACTTGTTGTCAAGTCCCGGTGTTTTATCAAACTATTTGCCTACTTGTGATCTTTAACAGATTAAAAACTGCAAAAACTATCCTCACAAAATGCTTGACAGCTTATCATTTACCCAGTTTCTTGGCTCCAGTATAAAGAAGTATTTCAGGACTGAATCAGAAAGTGAAATAAAAGGCAAGGGAAAGAGGGAACAAATGCTCAATTCCCCAGTAGTCTTATATTTGGGAATGGCCAGTTGCTAAATAACTTCCCAGTTAAATAATCATAGGGAAGGCCTTTTGGAAATCCAGCCTCCGTACATTAAGAGCCAGGCCCCAGCTCAAAATGTGGCATTTGAAACTACTGCAGTTTTAAAATTGAGCCTCCCCTTACATTATACAGAAACTCTTTGGGGATTCCCTCTTCTGTAGATCAAAAACTGGGTCCTGACCAAAACAGAGAGTT